GCTGAAACCTAGACACCTGGGTCCATGATTGTACTGAGCAGGGGTACAGTGGAAGGACATCGACACCTGGTGTCACACTGGACGATCTTCATGGTCAGTATAGGAACTAGAAATATGTCAATCAAAATATCTTCAACCTTGCGTTAAGGTCAACATGCTTGTATATTAAGTTTAAGTTAAACACTTAAGACCATTTGAGAAATGAGAATCTCTTTAAATTGTCATGTCAGACTGATTCGCTAATATACAATTAAGCATGGTGATGATCTATATTAGATTGAACCATTTTGGATTTTTTAGTCCATACAAATTGACATCATGTAATATGCTTGCACTATGTGGAATATAAGTAGTGTCTCTTATAAACCTGACACACATCTTCATAATAATCTATGGAAGATGGATATTTAGCAAACGGTTCTGTTGTTACTTCCCACTGTGTGTCCAAGAACCTTTGATTAATTTCTGTCTACAGATATTTTATAGCTGCGGAGTCTGTTTGGAAAATGAATGAAGCTTACATAAAATACAGACTTTCTGCCTGTTGATTCAGCTATATTGGCCTGAGGATTATACTTCTATAATGTTACCTGTTAATCAGAAAATTCTGTCCATGTGGTGTACCCCATGCAAAGTAATATGTCTCCATAGAAAAATACATCATATATATTACTTCCTGACAATCCAATCAAATTCAAATTATGCACTTATAATGTCAGGTGTGTTTTCATTTATTTTTATGTATTTTCACAGCATTGTGACTACATCTATACCTTTTTAAAGGAGAATTTGAGAATTATAAGCATTCTGCGAAAATTAGGTCTACATTGGAAGGAAATACAATTTTCAGGCATGGTAAAAATATCGTCATTCAGTACAGTAACAAAACACTAAGTAAATGCTTCTGTTCCATGCTATGGCAGATCATCAATATGGCAATAAATACACATCATGTGGATATTACACAGAGTATGTACAAACTCAACATTATTTACAGCATCTCATCAGACCGCTCCGATATATAGATGTAGCTAGCTTTACCCAAGAACCCACACTGTTATGTAATCAGCGAGCACGTCACGTTTATAAAAAAAGCGAGCACCATTGTGGCTGGTGTAGGAAATGTAGCTAACAAGGTTAACTTAATAAATAAACTTGTATCAAGTTAACAGGGTTAAACAAGTCTAAAATGTCTGCATAAAAAAATAATTTAAATTGTCCAGTGGCTTAATTTGTTCTTCAACAACAGGGTCCCAAAGGGATAAGTCTGACATTTAGTGAAAAAACTGTTGGGTATTTTATCAAAATTTCTTTGCCATGAAAGAAATAAGTAAGTGTTTTTGTACAACAAATGCGTCAAGAGGGCCAAAGTTGGTATGTGTAACTGTAGCAGGATCTACTATGGATGGTTGGCATGTACCTTACACATCATCTTTCTTCAACCTTCCTGGTGAATTTAAATAGACTTTACAACTACACAGTACAGTTAGTCTCACAGTCCCTGAACCATATTATTTTCCTTCCTGCCAACCTTTCTGTAATGATGTAGCCCAAGTCCATTTTCCAGAGTGACCCATCTTGCTTGGAACCCCTTTGGAACTCACATGTAGTTGCTAGGTTTTAAAAAATTGACATTAATAACAAAATATATAAAAAAAGGAGAGCAGATGCAGTTTCACGATTGGGTTCAGTATGGTTTATTATTGTGTAAAATGACTTTGGATTTTCACTTAGGTAATTTAAATAATGACCCTCACAACATAACCTTGTAAGTTGAATCAGGTCCCAAGAGCATATGTAGAGCAGTGAGTGAACATTATAACCCTTTGACTGCCTCTGTGGTGTAGTGGTTAGAGCGTCCGCCCGGAGAGCGGAAGGTCGCGGGTTCCATCCCCGACCGCGTCATACCAAAGATGTTAAAATATGGTACTTGTTGGTCCCTGCCTGGCTCTCGGCATTAATGGGTACAACAAGGACTGGTCGTCTCGGAGTCAGTATAATGTGTCTGAGTGGGGTATTCATGCTTCACTGCGGCATGGTATCTCAGTGGGCTAGCACTATAAAACCAGCTTCAGTCTGGGCTAGTACAAGCTGCCGCACATACACATACACATGCATGCACGTCGTCATATGAGCGAAATATTCTCAAGCACAACGTAAAACCCAATTTCACCTCACCTCACCTCATTATAACCCTTCAACATGGTATAGTGGATTACATCCAATTCCATAAATGATACAGCAATCACGGATCACATCTTTCAGAGGTGGATCATATCTGGGCTTGTACTACAGAGATGCTGTCCTGGGGCCTGTTTCACAAACCGATCTTAGCGCTACGACTGTCATAAGTCTATGTTAAAGTATGAGAGTTATGATTGCCTTAGCTCTACGATTGCTTTGTGAAACGGAACCCTGGGCTCCATTGTACAAACCAATCTTAGTGCTAAGGTGATCTTAACTCTCATACTTTAACATAGACTTATGACAGTCGTCGTGCTAAGCTTGCTTTGTACAACGGCACCCTGCAGTATTAGGCAACTCAAACACTGGTCCATATATCTACATAGCGTCACCAGACTAATATACAGAGGCTGTATACAGACATTCACAGATCAATGTATTGTCCAATACAGGGGTGGAAATAACCCATTGCCCGACGCCCGGGTCCAGTGTTTTTTCTGTCGGGCAAGCAAATTTGTCTATCACACTGTACCGGTGTCCAGTTGACTTTCCAATGTTAATTATGTTGTTTATTTAAAAAAATCAACAAGAAAATCAGCCAGTATAGTGGAAAAATTATCAGGGCAAGTGATTTTACTTGTGCCACTGTACTGGAGTACACTAGCAATTTTAAAGTTATTTCCAGCCCTGCAATACATCATCATCGGCTGTTGTAAATGCTTTCACTGAAAACATTCCTTTTAAACTCAGGATAAAAATGTGCACCTTGACAAAACTAGTTGAACTGCCTTATATTGCAAACATACAAGCAAACCAAAGTGAGGTAACATACTAACATGACCCTTCCCTTCATAAAGCAACAGACCCATAGATTCCATTGACATCATAACACAAGTTTAGGTTTTGCAGGCAAAATTCTAATGTGTGGAACATGACAAATTAGAATCTTTCCATAGTGACAATACTTATTTACTATTGATTACATATTTTCCATCCTAATAAAGTTGGAGTAACTTGTGTACTGCATTCTGAGACAGTTGCTTGTGGTAACGATGCCAGTTATAACTTGTTCAGATTGTGGTGTTGTTTTTTTCCTTCTAAAAAGATGCCATAGAAGTTATGGGATTTTTTGTTGGTCTGGAATGAAGAATACTTGCCATGAATGCAGGTGAAAACATCTGCGATGGCTAGTATTCATATTTTATGAGAGCTTCAATAAACCTTCACTCACTGTGGTTTTAAGTAGATCATGTACAGAACTATATCCATTTTCAGTTGCTCAAATTACAGCTAGACACTGTAAATAGTGCCATATAGGACATTATCTGTGTGATTATTGACTGTTAGATTGATAGCCATCCTATATTTCAGACACAACAGCAGAGGCCCAGGGGTGGAAATAACCCATTGCCCGACGCCCGAATCAAGTGGTTTTTTTCTGTCAGGCAAGCAAATTTGTATATCACACTGTACCGGTGTCCAGTTGACTTTCCAATGTTAATTATGTTCTTTATGTAAAAAATCAACAAGAAAACAGCTGGTATAGTGGAAAAATTATCAGGGCAAGTGATTTTACATGTGCCACTGTACCGGAGTACACTAGCAATTTTTAAGTTATTTCCACCCCTGAGGCCACATACCAAGGGTCAGGCCACAGCAGCTGATTATCATTGATGATCAATGTTACACCCTTGAGTGCAATACATTGAGATGCCCTGCTGCTTCTCCTGACAGTATATGGTCTAGGACAAAAGTGAATGTTTGATTGACCTAAATCAGACTTGCAGCTCGACTGGCTTAAGACATGTCTTTTAAAGATTCACAACTGGCATCTTACTACAAGGTCTTGTCGCATCCATGATCATATTGTTTTTTATAAAGATTTTAACAATGTATGAAGATTTAAACAAGGAATAGATTCATTTTTTAAACTCTGTACGTGTTTGCAGAACACAGACATAATGTTATGTTAAAGTGAACAAGGTACTATGTAATGTAGTGTAAATGGAGTGAGTGAGTGAGTTTGGTTTTACGCCGCTTTTAGCAATATTCCAGCAACATAACAGTGGGGGACATCAGAAATGGGCTTCACACATTGTACCAATGTGGGGAATCGAACTCAGGTCTTAACCACTAGACTACCCCACCGCCCCTAGTGTAAATAGAGAGAATGGTTAGAACTTAGGTCAACAGATTAACCATTCTAACCACTGTCAGGTTAACAATCCTCCCATGCATCATTTGTGAGAGAGTTTGAAATACACCTGCAGCAAAATGATTGATACTACCCTTATGTTCTTCCTTAGAAACAATCATAAGATTAAGTGCTATCCTAATTCTCCAAGAGGGAACAAAAAGCTCATTTAATCCATGTCAGCCTTTTAATTGTATCATTGTACTACTTAAATATAAAATGTCAAGGTCAGAGAGTAATCAGTCTTGATTATATGTCAAACATATTCCCTTGGGCATAGAAGTAAAAATAGTGGGGAAAATTAACTGACTGTTTCTGAGAAAATCAATGATAACACAAGAAGAATGAAGGTTTCTAAATTCACTTACTGTAATCTGTAGAAATGGCACTGGGTGTTTTATGAAGATCATGCATATAAAATTGGCTTTGCTATAGATTCAGATGCTTTAAAAACTTGCTAATGTTGGACAGTTTGGACACATATTTAGAATGGTTATTCATTGACTTATTACAATTGCTGTCTGAGATATACTGAGGGAAGCAAATAAGGGAACACCACATCATGGCAGTGTTCCTTTATTTATTCTCAGATTTCCTCCCACAGTACTATTCAAAGCTGGTGATGAAAACTGGAAAATATTAAAGGAACACTTGAATTTTCCTGTGTTCCTTTATTTGTTTCTCTCAGTATATTACATTTTGTACAAAGGGTTTATGCTTTAGTTCCATGATGATACGTATGAGATAGTTCCCCACAGTGTTTTCAGCATTATGAAGAGTTTTTAAGCTCAGTATTTGATTAAATGATTCTTTGGTTCTCAAATTACGTGTCTTTATTATCTCTCATTTCATACACTGACTTCAGAATGAAGTGGAATAAAGTTCGAAAAATAACTACTGCTTCAACAGAATATGATCAAAATAAGCACTTCCTTCATCCTTAGCATCTTCACTAAAACACTGGATTGAAAGTTAAAATCATTCAAAAAGATATTGTCACAATAGATCAATTAACAGTATATAATTTCTGTGGAAAATATGTGTACATTTCAAACATTTTAAGTGGTTAGATGTTAGATCACCAAAAATATTTGTTTGTTTTGCAAATTGAAAATATTAATTTTATCATTTTTTGCATTTTCATGAAACTAGAAATTTAATATTTACCAATAGAAGGTTGATATCTAGTAAATATTTGTTAACTCACTCCCTTATGCACAGGACACTTAAGCAACTATTTTTGTATCAAAATACTGTTTGCATGCTCACATCTTATATGTTTAAGACAGGAATACTAAATATTGCAAAGCTGTGTATACTGTGTGTCAGTAACCTAACACATGCTTAACTGAGTGTAATCAAATATGAATATCCATAATCATATATGTTCATAATTCACATTAAGAGTATCATTATTCTTTATAGCTTTCATCATGGTTGCTGTTCTTTCCAAGCATACATTTCAGAAAAGGAGCACTTTAACAAATGCTGATCTATCAACTAGCTAATGTTTGGAAAATATACACACTTTTTTCTAAATAAATAAGGGTTTACAAAATGTACTCATTAACATGGTATATTTACAAATGTCAAATTATTACAGTCAAATTATGCTACAACATCGTTGAAGACACATGCACAGACAGAGGTGTCGGTGCTGGAGCTTGCTCTAGCTCGGTTATGTACATCATATTCACTGTGCCAGGGCTGTACAAAACGTGGGAACATTTATATTAAAATATAATTTGGACATCTTCTTTTGAGATGTGTCATTCTTACAAGTTTCATACAGTATAATACTGCATTTGACATACTCAAACTTCAACTGAAAGTTTAACTGAACTCAGTCAAGTGTACCTATCTGTACAAGTTCCATCAAATTATTTCTTCTTTTCAAATAGTAATAATCAAAACTGTAACTAATATATTTTACTGTTTTCTATACAACTTCAATAAATGAAAATATATTGAGGTTTGATAGTGTAACATCTACCATACCTGAGCAAAATATTGGAAAACATTACAAAACATAATACTACAAATATTAAAAGTAACAAACAATTGATAAACAGCAACATTTCTGTGAATTTTGTCAAATTAAACTTGAAAATACCCTAAAACGTAATTTAACATTAAAATGTAATTATGCATCTTAAACATTTATCCTCAATAAAATATTCACCAATCAAACAATACCATTAAAAACAGCTTCATGAAGATTAATCAATACAAAGAGTTGATTACAAACTTCACAACTGAAATGTCAACCGTCAGAAAAGTTTCAATCAAACAGCACAGGAAGATCAACATCTTTCACATGATTGAAATTCAACAGGGGAAAAAGAGAATATTGTTTCCAGAAATATTGTCTGTCTTGGCAGTTGGAAGTTTGAAACTCTTCATCATTGGACATTTTCAATGTGCAGTTTTGCTCAATCGTTTCCAGCTTTGTTATCAGTTCCCCATTATCCATCTAGTTGTCCCCGACGGTTCATCGTATACTGCTCCATTAATCAACTTATGTTCTCAATACATTCTATTTCATATAGAAATGTCATGTTCCAAGAGATTTATTGTTCATCAACACACTGATAGCTACGCTAGATGAAAAAATATGAGCTATTTTCTTTGTATTTCACAATCTTCATCCTGACAGATATTAATATGGTGTCCATATTCATGCTATCATATTTATTGATGCAGCGTGTACTTCTGCTCAACATGTCATCGGATCATATATGAAATCAGGTTTATTACTTATATATTTCAAAGAATATGTTGACCACTTTTCCGTAATGCTTACGAATCAGTAAGCTTTAATTCCTTTGCACCTGGCACTCAAGGAACAAAATCCATTATCTCCCCTGAATTCTTTGCATTATCTCCCCTGAATGCTTGTAATGAAAGTTGTCTCCCTTTCCAGGTCTTCTCCTGTAAAGGTACATCTACTTCGTCACTAGTTCACATTTTGTTTCATGTTTCCTCTGTTAAAACAGTCACTTTTCAATCTGTACTAATAACAGGAAACAAGCATTTCACAGTTGTTCCAGAACCTGTGTCTTTTGACTTGTCTCCCTTTTCTTGTTGCTTTAAAGCAAAGAGGCCTCCCTTTAATCTCAAATATAGTTCTGAGTATTATACATCTCTGATCATGGAAAGTCCAACTGTCATGAGTTCCAGAGTTGCAGGAAACCAATGGTTGCTATAGCAACTATTGTGGCCATGTTGAGACTGCTGCTAAGGTGCAGTGCTGCCTTGTTGAATGGGTGTTCCGATCGAGCATGCTGGGACCCCGAGCCAGAACCTGAAATATGGAAATATTAGAACTAATTATTGATAGAATATCTCAATGTCAATATTCCTACCTCGTAAATCAATCGATAATCAATTATAATCACATTTTTTAGGCAAGAAAATTACCGCAGCATATGCAATAAAAACAACTGTATGCTGCTTCAAATTGGTCTGGCGTTGCGTGCATGATTGTTGGGTTCTGTTTATTCTGGAGTAAGACACATATAAAAATTCCGTCAATCAATGTTGGTTTTTGTCATACTAAATACATATTCAAGGATATCATTCTACCATCTACCAAGATTCATAACAGCTTTTCTTGGCTTAGTATATTGATTAACCAATCATTCAATTAATCTGGAACCCATTGGTAATTCCAAAGCAAACTTTTCACCATATTCAAATTTTCAAAAAGCCATCAATCATGTCTTTATGTCCATTTGCAGACAGACAACAAACACAGCAAATGTATTTTCTGCTTAGATCAAAGCACCGCACTGATGACCTCTGTTATCTCGAACTGGAAATAGTAGCATTGTGCCCATCAAACCCTAAACACTGCTTGATAAAAGATGACAAAATATCCATTTATTACCTTTCATAACATTGGAATATGAATTTCAAATTGCATTTATATATGGCTGTTTTCTCTAAATATAAAGTTTCCAAAATGCCTTGACCCTTCTTAAATACATTTGACCTTCTTAGCGATGGCACAGACGTGGGACTCTTTCATTCAGCAACAAATGACTTGTCGACTTGTCTGATGAAACACATGACCACCTGGACTCATTAACCATATAGTTGTTGTATGCAACTACACTGTGAGTGAGTGAGTGAGTATGGTTTTTCACCGATTCTTTTAGCTATATTTAACAATTTCAGAAATGGGGACACCAGAAATGGGCTTCACACATTGAACCAATGTGGGGAATTGAACCCGTGTCTTTAGCATAACAAGCAAATGCTTTAAATACTGGGTTACCTCAGGACTCAGTTACACTGTGCAATATGTACTAGTCATTAAAGCAAACATACTTCCTAACTGAGGCATAAGCTAAGAATAGAATATGAAAGTTTCTTGAAGGCATCTATATGGAAAATGTTGTTACAGCTGATAATAATCATATTTTGTATAAAACAATGGCATCATGTTTCAGGAAGATCCCCTTACCTCTTTTCACATTGGAGGAGTTTGCTGAAATGAAATACAGAGAATATACAAGACTATAAAATAATTATTGAAAATATTGCAGTATGATAGACTTTATACTTTACTTGAAATTTATTTAATTAAATCTTATATATGTATAAATATTGTTAAGCAAATTAACCATATCATTCATATAATCTTTGATTTAAAACAGTTAATAAATAAAGGCTTCAGACCCTTGTAATATTTTTAAGGTGGCATTTAAATACTGCACATCAATATGGAAATTATAAAATAAACCTTCAATATATTCAACACAAAAATTCTGTCTCCTCAAGCAACAAAATATGAACATAACCATGTTGTCTTCAGCAGCCCAACTAAACTGTGAAATGAAATATTTCAAAATATCAAATACACGGATTTAAAACAAGAGAACTGAAAATAAGGAAATCATGTTCTAAGAAAGCAGCTAGAAATGTTTGCATGAATATGCCAAATGACAGAGAAGAAAAACCTTTTCATCAAGTTTTCCTCTTGAACATGATGACATACTCATACAAATTAAGTCACATTTTTTGACAGATGACAGTTGTATCTTGATGTAGATTTTGTAGCTGGCCACAACAAATTAGAAGATCGTTTAATTCAATCCTGATAAATCCAAAATATGAATACACTTAACCATATGTGACATTTTGAATAGACAGATTGAATATACAAAGTGTATAAAGAAATTTGTTGGTCCCATTTAGAAGAGTAAAGAAGTTCCCATTATTTGGGGGATTTACCCCTTGAATTACAATGTACCATTGTCTCAGTGTTTTGCCTCACAATATAAAACCATTAAAACGTCAGTGCAAAGGAATACCCAGTCTTGTCTGTCCTCAGAAACCAATTCCGAAGATGCTGCTGCTGCTGCTATATTACCGATACTTTATCCTAATCAGAGCGTGACCAAACAGATTCAGATATAGTGTTCATCTAATATATAATATATGCTTATATTATATTATTAGTAAGTCATTAAATATTTCACTTACACTGTTTCCGTAGGTTGCCCTTTTGCCTGTTTAGATTTTCACAAAACAAATTTGGTGGAAAAGATTTTATGCTTTAACCATTCTTTTAACAAAACCGAGTGTAATGATTCAAAAATCTAATTTCGCATGTAGATTATATTCTTAGCTGAAGTAAGTGTGTGAGTTTAGTTTTATGCTGCTTTTAGCAATATTCCAGCTATATCACGGCAGGGGACACAAGAAATGGGCTTCACACATTTCACCCATGTGGGGAATTGAACCTGGATTTTTGGCGTGACGAATGAACGCTTTAACTACTAGACTAACCCACTGCCCCCTTAGCTGAAGTATGTTGCCTCGGTGTTATAATGAAGCCCAACTGGTATTGATTGACTGATATTGATTTGACAGTGTTTTTAACACTACTGCCGTTACACCATGTGAGTGTGATAAGAGCGCAGTTTTAGATGTGTACGACCCACAACTGACACCTTAGTTAAGACATACCAGTGCTAACTGATACAAATACTCCAAGTTCCTTTGTAGAAAACCTTTGAGTTCACTGCTACTGTATATGTGGTTTGGAGGACCAACAAACTGATGGATAAACAAAACCATATGTCATGCTGAACTATCCAGAATTCAGAAGTTAGAAGTATTTTAGACTTTATCAGATGTATGTCCAGGGACGGTTAAATGTTTCATTATGTTCAATAAAATACCACAGATTTGCAGAAACATGGGGAATTTTAGTGACTTTATTGAAAACATTTTTCATATGAATAAATAATGACCTGCTTTTAGCTTCTGAAAGTCTTATAGATAGGAGTTGACATTTAGCTTTTTATACCATGCACTTTGAGTATGCATCTGAGTGGTATGTTAGGTATATTTTGAGTATTTATTTGGAAACTGACTGTATATTTTATCATATTCATCACAGTTTTGATGTTAACATTTATATGAGATAACATAACAAAAGTACATGGCAAAAATTCCAGATTAAACTGACAAAATCTCATGATACATTTTCCTTAAAAGAGTAATTCACTGCAGCTGAAAGGAGCATTGGATTCACTGATTCATGAGACTGTTTTTTCACTGATAAACGAAACCAGTTAACTTCCCACTTTGATAGATGGAGACAGTTCTTCAGAGTGAGCAGGCATGCATTGCCAATCAATCAGGCACGAGCTCATTTGTCACATTTTGAAATCCTGATTTGAATTTTTTTCAGATATCTAACATTTTGAAATTTGGAACCGCTTTGAAGAGTGTCTTTTTATTAATTTGTTGTGGCCTGAGTGCAGCATGCAGGTGGCAGCACTTACCGGTGGGCTCTTCATGACAACAAGCAGGGAGGAAGTAGAGAATGAACGTATACTCAGCAAAAATTTAAAGGAACATAATCATTTATAAAGGTATTGCTGTCATTAAAAGTACAGATACATGGGTTAAGAAAATATTCCATACTCAGTATTAATCAGGGTGTTAAATTTCGTAACTTTTGAAATTGTCATGTAGTCGGTTTATTTCAGTTTTCAAGGCCAATTTTGTGCACAAAAAGTGAGAGGGGAGAATCTCACCTGAATGAAAGTCTTAAATATATCAGGACAAGTAGGAGAAAGTTACAAATATCCCAAATATCAAGACTTCATGTATAGAAGATTGGAGGACATCAGCATGTATGATTTGTAGCACCTGAAATCATTCTTCTCAATCATTCAAAATGAGCTTTTTTGAGTTTGTAAACAGTGTAACAGTAAACACCAGTGTCTTGAGTGTAAAAGTACTGGTACCCAGCCTCAGCAGCATACAGGTTTGTGATGTCATTGAATTATGATGTCATAGTAGCAAGAATGTCATAGTGAAAAGCATTGTGCTGCTATTTCATTATAGCAATCTCCTGTAGAAGCCAGTTTAGGATGATCAAAAATAATAGTGCTTTATTATATGCATTATGCTGGAAAGTGAATGTTAAATCTCCAAATCATCATCATCATCATCATCATCATCATCATCATCATCAGACATTTCAAATCCACCTGACACGAACAGTTTCTTTGACACTATGGACAAAATACTGAAAGATAACTACACTCTGTAATGATGATACAATGCACAAAACCATAGTGGATGTGACAATAAAAAGACATTAAAAAGACAAATATTAACCTGAGTCAATATACAGCTATGGAACTCAACCTTCTGTATTTTAACATTTACTTATCTAGAAATCAATTTAATATTTTAAGAGCATGACACATGATATGATCATATTTAATAAAATCAAATAGCAGTGATTTGAAAGTAGAAGATGTTTCATATTATGACCTATCCCTATCCAACGTCTGAAGCTTCTTGAAGATACAGTGAGTGAGTGAGTATGGTTTTACACCACTTTTAGCAATATTCCAGCAATATCATGGCTGGGAACACCTGAAATGGACATCACACATTGTACCCATGTGGGGAATTGAACCTAGGTCTTCAGCATGATGAGCGAACACTTTAACCACTAGGCTACCCGACTGCCCCTTGAAGATACACACAGACATAGGCACTTTCAGTATCTATACAAGAAGGGTATGGTTTTTACAGCCCTAACTTTCAGTATCTAGACAAGAAGGGTATGGTTTTTACAGCCCTGACTTTCAGTATCTTGACAAGAAGGGTATGGTTTTTACAGCCCTGACTTATGTCGGATTCTGAGCATGTATACATTCCAATGACAGCAATAATACATGTGTTCCAATAAAGAATTTTTCTTTACAAATAATGTATTACTAGATACATTTACTGATTGGACATATTTATCATCACACTCTACATACATAAAAGAACTATGGTATTAAGATACTACAAATTTCTTAGAAATTTTATATCACTTAAATTCTACTGACAATGCCAGCAAGTGTTCCTTTAAACTTTCTCTGAGTATTTAAGTCCGAACTTTAACGTAACTTTGATTATTGAGAAATAAGAAAAATAGAAACAGCACTATACGTACCAACAAGAACGGTAACCTCCATGCTGTCTATAAGATTCTCAGAACTCCGACAAATATACGTCCCTGAGTCCTCTCCTCGACTCCTGTCGATAATTAACTCACTCACTAAAGCCTGGTCCTTAAGAGACCGATATTTAGTTATTATGACATTTCGAAATCTCGTGGAGTCCACAATATCCCCGTCCTTAAACCAATCAATGTCCTCCGGGATTAAATCGCCTCCTGTGGCATTACAAATCAATCGCACTTCCTCGCCTAAATCCACATATTCCTTTCCATATATTTGAATTTCTGAAACAAAGCAATGCAAAACAATGATTAAAAGCTAATCCCTTAGACTTTCACCTGAAAGAATCTAAGTTTGCAATCGCGATGCTGTGAAGAATTATACAAGATGTGTTTTAGAATCATGTAAACTAAGAATTTAAGTGCAGCATTTTGCAGAAATTCATAAAATGTAAATAGGAGAGAATTTATGGATCTCAACTTCTTTATTATGAAGAGCACAATGTTTCAGAGCATGTGATTACTCCTTCATCACATGATCAATGGATATACATAAACACCAAAACATTGTTACCTGATGAAGGATTTGGCTTTGTTTGTTTGTTGTTTAACACCACATTCAACAATGTTTGCACCAGACAATCCAGTGATTAACATCATGAGCATTGATCTACACAATGATGTGTGACAGCCAAGTCAATGAGCAGGACCAAAGAATCCCATTATAGTCTGCTTGCAGTGAAATCGTACCGATGAATTTCACTTTAAACAAAAGAGTAAATCAAATAAAGTGAAATTTAGATTGCGAATCCTCATAATTTTACCTTGCCAACTAAAACATTAAAATCTCAGAATTTTATTCAACTTAGGATAAAAGTTGTTTAACAAATGATCATACATTCAAATCGCTATTATTGGTTTGTATTACAAGGAGGTACGCGCAGTAGTTGGAACAGTGAAACAAATGCACGTGCTGTATGTGATGAGCGTTAACTTAGACCAACCCTACTTGTTCTTGGAGTTTCATTTAATGTGCTTACCCCCTCGTAATACAAACCAAGAATAGCGATTTGAAACTATGATCATTTGTTAAACAACTTTTATCCTAAGTTGAATAAAATTCTGAGATTTTAATGTTTTAGTTGGCAAGGTAAAATTATGAGGATTCGCAATCTAAATTTCACTTTATTTGATTTACTCTTTTGTTTAAAGTGAAATTCATCGGTACGTCTTCACTGCAAACAGACTATAGTTGCCTTTTACAACTGGCACTGATAAACAGTCTTGACCAGGTCCCCCTCATGATGTTCTGAGTTTGAATGGGCTTAATAAGGATTTAAATTTTGAGGTCCACTTGAAAACTCCTGAATTTTGATTAACTGACTTTGATTAACTGACAGAGTGTGCACCACAAACTACTGTCAAAGCATCAATGATTAGGAAATGATGATAATGTTTAAATCAGATGTAATAATTCATGCATAACAACCATCCAACTATATTTATTACAATAATGTCAATTATTAAACATGCTTACCTGGTCTATAATCGGGTGGATCTGAAACAGAATAAGAACACACTATTAGATGAATAATTATATTCATCTGTAAAGCTGGACTATAACATGATCACATTAAAGATACTAAACACTGAATAATAAAGTTAAATGGCGAACATAGAACATAACACATAACACAGCCTCTCCTAATTTTCCTCATATCAGCGACATTTAAACACTTTACAGTAGGAAGAACACAGCGGCATCCTGTGTTGTCTGTCACCTGATGCAACATTCCGAACAGGCTTGATAAGAACTTCAAGTTATGAACCTATAATATTGCTAATAACAATTAACCTTATCTGTACCAATATTAACTTTGTGAATTATTATGTACAATCTCACTTGTAAAAAACACAGCATATCAAATTGCCTTTAAATGTATATCTGTTGAGCAGGATCTACATTCATAGCATTCTGATGTATGTACAATGTTTTATGAACATTTTGGGAAATTCAAAGTTCACACAATGTCAAGGAGATTGGATAATTTACTGAGAGATACAATACATGTATCTCCATGTGTGGAGATTGGAGGAGATGTCTGAGGTTGAGTCAGATGACTTTCTAATCAGCTGAACAGTGGCTTCTATATTCTCTGTATGAGTCAGAGCTTTCAGACCATATCCGATTTCTGTAACTCAACAAACTGAATCAACTATTGCCAAATGTGCATGATTCCAGCCATGACATTATATTGTTGTCAATATTTAGCTGAGTTACTTCTGAGTGAGACCCGTGAAGATCCAGTTAAAATTGGTCTTCAGTAACCCATGCTTGTCATAAAAGGCAACTAACAGGATTAGGTGGTGAGGCACACTGACTTGGTTAACACATGTCATCGTAGATCGATGCTCATGCTGTTGATCATTGGATTGTCTGGTGCAGACTCGATTATTTACAAACCGCCACCATATAGCTGGAATATTGCTGGGTGTGGCGTTAAAAAACAAAAAACTTCTGAGTGTTGTAAGCATCGGCAAACAAATGGGAGATCCCTCAAAGCTTTATTTGTGTTCTGTTTGGGTTTCTTTTCATAAAAATAAAAACTGCAGAATCAAGGTGGTAAAGAAATGAAGCTGAACTGTTTCAGGAAGCTGAGATCTGTTTGGCTACAGAAGACTGCATCCTTCATCCAGATTGGGTGGACTCAAGGAGTTGTTGGCAGATCTTATCACAAAGAGGGTCATATTGGAGTAACAGATCTGGTTTTAATCAGGTAGAGAAGTACCACTGAAATTAGTTATCAACACTTTTATATCAAATATAATCACAAACACTTTAAAAAAGAATGAACAGTACCATAAAATTTGAAAAACAATGTATCATAATTGTTCTGTTGTGTGGTCCTCCAGTATAGCTTATAGAGGATTTCTTATACTGGGAGTTCAAGCAAGTTCGAGCAAATTGTTTTGGATGTCTCGTGTCATCACTGATGTTCAGTGGGCCAATCGTATATTTTTTACACCTATTTCCCTCTTTACACCAAAAGGAATGTGTTTCTGAGGAAAGTTAAGACTGGGTATTCTTTTGCACTGATGTTATTGGTATATATTATATTCAGCTCACCTAACACTCGCAGTCGAACGTGGAGTATTTGTTTCTTTTTATCTATAATTTCACAGATGTATGTCCCTTCATCTTCAGGCTGTGCTTTTGAGATGCTGAGGTTCCAGTGGGTAACGTCGTTGTCAAACTCGCGGTAGTCCACGATGATGTTGGAGTTCCTCACCCAGGTCATGTCACCGATCGTCAGGATGTGCTCTTCATGCTGGCGGTACCATGACACCTGTAGAGGAAAGGAACACAATGGAGTGATTCGAATCATTGACACATCCTAGTCTTTGTTCTGTTGGTGGAATTTCAGATACAGCACAACCAGAAATTATTGAGAATTTAAAGATTGTAATTTTTATTTTTTTCTCACTCATTACTCACGTATTAAATGTGAATATTAGCAGAACATAACTCCAGATTCAAAGACAGGTGAACAGTTAGTATTTTGTCAGGTCACCATGGGCGGCAATGCAGGCTTCAATGCAGCAGGGCATACTACTGATCAAAGAAGTTAGAAAGTCGTGGTCCATGCTGTCCCAATATCGGACCACCTCTTCTTTCATTTCACCAATATTTGTGAGATTTTTCTTATTGACACTTTCCATAAACAAGAATACCAAGCTGCCTCCTGTCACCGACAGTCAAATTTCTAGGCCTACCTCTGCCTCCCTGGTGCTCAATGCCATATCCATTTGCAATATTTTTCAAAACACGATACACAGTGGACAAAGGGATGCCTGTTCTACTTGAAATCACTTTAGCTGATCTGATGTCCTTGTTATAATACTCTAAAATCAACTTCCTCTTCTCTAAATCATCCATACTGAGGATCACTGAAAATGTCGTCTGCTAGCAAGTAAACAAAGGGGGATAACTCTTCACAAACTAATGAAAAAGGATTAACGGAGTTGTCTCTCTTGAATGAAACCAAGCACTTGATAGCTGGTCAAGGTTGTTTATACTAGAAATCCAATTAAACATATTCCTAAAATTCTCAATAATTTCTGGTCATACTATATATTAGCAAACTGTATCACTGACAGAAATTGGTTCAGACCTGGGTCCACATTTTTAATTTTATGCTCTCTTAGCTCTAAGATAGTCGTAAGTTAATGTTAATGTATGGTACTTATGACTATCTCAGCATTAAGAGAGCTTCGAAAATCTAGGCCCTGGATGAGACATTACTTGTGATGTCACTCACATTGTTTGCATGGTCAAGACTGGAAAAGCTGAGCATTACACAACATGGAAACATTGATTACCATATACTATAGGTTGGGTAAGAGTGACTGAGTGAGTTAGTGAGTGAGTGAGCTTTTGGTACTATTCCAGCAGTCAATAAGGTAGGCTTTGTAGCCTGGTGGTTTAAGCATTCACGAAGACCTGGTTCAACTCCCCACATGGTTACAATGTGTGAAGCTCATTACTGGTGTCCCCCGCCGTGATATTGCTGGAATATTGCTAAAAGCGATGTAAAACTAAACTCACTCACTCACCCATATGCATTGTTGACACCTTCTTAATGCCATTTAAGCTGCATGACTAAACCCCAGCCTGACCATTAGGCATGATATATTGATAACAAAAACACTCAGAGAGGCTTGGTGATAGGTATGGTTTACCCGAACCTCTCCTGCAGTCCAGGTGGTGAGAACCTGACCCGCAGGACACCTGCTCCTGTGTGTTTGTCCTGAACCTGATATGCCACGTGGCAGTACCAGGTCTCTCCAGGATAAATGCCACATAGCTGACAGACAGCCGAATTAGTGGGAAGCTAAAACCTTTTAAGAAATCTGGTTACCAGCTTCAGCTGCATGACCCTACAAGAGATACATATAACCTGAAAACTAATATTATATTTCCCCAAAAGCAAACTGACTGTGATCCTCAAAAGTTGTTAGACAACAAGGATATACCAGAAAATAGACTAAATTATGTTGTAGTGAGTGACTTTAGTTTTACGCCGCTTTTAGTAATATTCCAGCGATATCACTGTGGGGACACCAGAAATGGGCTTCACACATTGTGCCAACTTGTGTAATCGAACCTGGGTCTTCGGTGTGATGAGTGAGCGCCTTAACCACTAGGCTACCCTGCCGCCCAAATCATGTTGTATACTTAAGTACTAGTAACATTGCAAAAAAAGGTTACATATTCAGACAGAACTTCAAAGAGCAACTTATATAATCCAAAATATCTCGTATATCTTATTTTAATTTTTCCTGAAAGAGGATAACAGGATTTTTCTCTAAATAAGAACATCAATGCCAGAGAATAAGTAGCTGTGATCATCCCATGAATTTCTTACCGGATGCAAGAGAAGACTGGTGAAAATTACAGGAATGAATCACTAAAACTAAGAAATATATGTGCATGTTTTATGTAGAAAATTAATATATTCACACAAGTTTATGTCTAAAACTAGTATGCAAGATTTAACATTCTGTGTAATGACTGACCCAAAATACTTTTCAATCACCTTTATTCAAATAAAAATATCTTTAAAAGATGTGATATGAATATCAACACTATAAGCTGTTTGATGCTGCTATTACTACAACTAGTTATGATTACATAACCTTTTATCAAACACATGCACACTGACCCCCAAAGATAAGGTCCAAATGATTAGGCATACATTGTTTGATGCAGGGAATGGTAAAATCTGGAATTCTTTACATGAGAGAAAAACATGACAAATTAGCCCAATTTCAATGCTAAGTTATCATGCAAGGATTACTTCTCCTCCCTGGAATATGATGTTCAGCTGTTCGAAGCGAGAGCGAAGTTGGGACGAGGATGAACGGAATGATTAAGGTAATTAAAGAGATTTGGCGCTTCTGGCTTATTCCTAATTCTTCACAGCTCACTTATATGAGGAATGATGTTAATGGATCTTAAAACCATTTCTTGGCCCATTTTCACACAACACTGACAGCAATAACGGAATCTTCAATCAGTGGTATGTGTCGGCCATATTGTTCACAGATGACTGATGATGTATAAAAACTGTTTTATCGGAGAATTTATCGAGCAAGGGTAGCTGATACACATCCAACCTGTTTTTAATTGGATATGAGAAAAAAACGTACTTCTTGAATTATGGTAGATGTGGACCATTGGTGCTAACTAGAGGGCAGTTAGGTTTGAAGCTACAGATCGACAAAAATATTTCTTACAAATATCAACATACAGATGTCAAAAAGTAATTTTTTTGTTTTGAAAGAAATATGTTTCAAGTACTGCAAACTTCAATGAGCAAGGTTTTAAATCATTTTCCAGACGGCAATTGTAACTATTCAAGATGAAAGAATTGAGATGCTAATTTCCATGGCCAATATTCCAAGAGTCTGTAGGCAGAATACCAAATTCATTATGACATTACCTCCATAAACAGAACATCTGGTAAGGAAGCTTTTATTAAATTTAAAAGAAAAGATGTTCCAAAAGCATATTTTTTAATTACCGGGTAAATGAAAATTATGTTTTATACCGTTAACCAAATTTATGTAGAACTATTTGTATACTTGTCAGAAGATAAGTTTCCGAAATTTAACTTCTGATCTAAAATTCTGAAATGTCTAGTATCATGCATCAATGCAAATTTTAAATAGTGAGTGAGTGAGTATGGTTTTACGCCGCTTTTGGCAATATTCTAGTAATATCACGGCAGGGGACACCAGAAATGGGCTTCACACATTATACCCATGAGGGGAATCAAAACCGGGTCTTTGGTGTGACAAGCCAACACTTTAACCACTAGGCTACCCCACTGCCCCCAATTTTAAAATAAATCTTATATGTACTGACAACATTACTGTAGCACAGATGACCTACCAGAAATGTACACTTTCAGAAAAGGACACTATCTCAACAATTCAGGTCATAGTCATGAGGAGCACTGAAGAAATCCAAAATTAACTTTTCCATCCATAAAAAGACTCAACAGATGCAGCGTTTTCCGGTTTGTTTTGATGGTGAAAGAATTGTGGGACACATGTCGAGATGAGAGAATCTGTAAGAGCGAGGAAACAGACCCTGATTGGTTAATACATCGGATCAAGTCACGCATCAGTATAATCTTAACTAATTCAGATGGAAAAAATGTTTTCCTCAGGCCATGACGGGCCTAATAGATGTTGAGAAAAGACAATGAACTAGGTTAGATGGGTTTACTTCTATTTCTGCCACCTGAATACAAAAACAGGTGTGACTGAAAACAATTAGTTTCATTTTCTAGGATCTTCAGTGCCCTTAAACGCAGTGTTAAAATGTGTTCATTGTAATTCCTAATTCCAGTTGTAAGAGTGCTGGAATATTTGGATTAACGCTTTGTATCTGAAAATATTTCATTTTGATAGAAACAAATAACTCCATTTAAATTGACAAGCAGCTTGAGCTTGGAGATACAGAGCATGATGAAATCTGGACCTGCTTCATTTATGGTTTTCGTACTGTAAAATTTTCATGACAGTTATCTAAAATTATAATACATAAATAATATTTTTAAAATATAATACAACAAATCAGATTGGATGATATTTATCCTCCTCATATGACATCAAATAAATACAATATCAGCTATCTATCCATTTTTATTAATATCAATGAACTTTTCCTATAGCTAACTTTCAATATGAGTTATCTGAAATTAAAATGACTGCGAGAAAATACCACAGTTATACATGAATAATATCTTAAAGATCTAATAACACAGACCTTTTTCAATTACGAAAACAGCTAAATATCGGTTATAATTCTCCCTTTAGATGATATCACTGAATTATTAAAGTACTAATTTCTACAACAAAAATATGAATTTTCTAAAATACAAATGACTATGAAAATATCAGAGAAACGGATAAATACACACATGAAACACATGTAGTATAACATATGCATCCTTTGTCATCAAACCACTGAAATATTAAGATCCAATTAATAAATCAAATTTTGAAATGTTTTATCTAAAATGAGTAATGCATGAATAGATAAGACAGGGAAAAGGTACAACTTTAATTTTCAGATCCAAATTTCTACCACAGCTAAATCCAAACAAGACTTAACCAAAGTTAAGTTATGTTAATACATACATATTAATTTGATAAATTTAAAAAAATAGACAATTTTAGGCAAGGTCTGCTGAAATCAAATTTCCTGTACAACAACTGTACCCCAACAGCTGTACACAATATAGGTAGACTTGATACTGTATGCAAACTATAATAG